ACACAAATCATTCCTGTTACTGTGCTGATGTTTTTATATGGAGTGAGTGAATATAATTGCTAATAATGACAATACCCATCTTACAGCTGTGGTGTAATTGGTGCCACTGTGACACACAGCAGGGCAGGGGGAGGAACAAGAAAACTTCCACTGAAATATGGTTGAGTTCATGAAATAYCACATCCAAAAACCAAGGTGGAAACCCTCTCTTTTAAAGTTTATATAGGAGAATTTCACTCATCACAACTGCCCAGGAAGAGGGATCCACACTGTCTCGCTTAGATGATGGATCTCCTAATTAATTGTGGAAAGGGGAGATGGTTCTCCAGACCCCAGAGTTGTGGAGGGAGGGAAGGAATCTTATAAAGGCAATGGCAAAGAGAGTTGAAGCAGAAGGGCACCAGGTGAACTGTGCACATGATGTGTCTCATCTTCCAGCTTGGAAAAGCTGGGCTTAGCCCTAGATTTGTAATAAAAGTGCTTTGAGTCACTGTAGACCTCCCCTGGAAGGTGACAGCTGATCCCTGCCCAAGGTGCACAGCTCGTGGGGAGGAGGTGTCAGTGCTGGCATCAGTCAGACACCCCTGGGTGTGCAGAAAGGACACAGAAGGGGTTCAAGGCCAGCCCTGACCTTTGCATGCAGCTCTGTGAGGRATTTGGGTTCCCACACACAGGTTTATGAGTGATTTAGGTTCCTACATACAGGTTTATGAGTGATTTGGGCGATTGAACRTTGGTTAATGGGTTGATTAAGCACTGCTGTCCTGGCACTCCGAGATGCATCATCTCAGCCCTAGGCATGAGGGCAGCTTGGTGGAGGGTAGAAACAATGGAGATTTATTCTTCCTGCAGTACTGTGTCAAAAAGCTCAGGCGGTGACTTTTGTTTCAACATCTACATATTTATATCTGCTGCATACTTCAGGCTGAAATTTGTTTCCTTTGCTGACAGGTTAACCTGCTTTCTGGGGTCTGTCTGCAGCAGCCCACCAGCACCTTTGCCAACACCAACCTGGATTTACAATGCTGAGCCCCCGTTTTCCACAGCAGCAGGACAAGRGTCAGCCACTCTCATTTTGTTCACGTCTCCAGAGCACCTCAAAGTGACAATAGGAGGAGGAAAAAAACCAGGCTGGGGTCTGCCCTGAGGCATATCCTCAGGGGCACATGGTTGGGAGTTATCAACAGGACACAGTTTGCCACCTTGGCCACCTTGGTTTGGGCAGAAAGTCCCTGTTTTGCCACCCTATTTTGGTATGGAAATTCCCCACTTAGAGCAGAGATGGTGAAYGAGAGCCATGGGAGCCAGAACCAGCTTGCCAAAGTGATTTTACCCAGCCATGCAAATATTGATGGGCCAGCCTGAGTGGGAGTATTTCTATGGATGTGGGGCAGAGGGAGAAGGAGATGCTCAGCTGAGCCTGGCGAGGGTTGTTGTGCAAATGTGGCTGTGTTGGTCTGCAAATCACAGAATCATGGAATATCCTGAGCTGGGGAGGACCCATCAGGATCATCAAAGCCCAGCTCCTGGCCCTGCACAGAACTCCAAAAATCACACKRTGTGCCTGACAGCATTGTCCAAAWTCTTCTTCAACTCTGTCACGTGCCATGACCCCTTCCCTGGTGMGCCCATTCCAGTGCCCRACCACYCCCTGGGTAAACATAATTTTCTTATCATCCAACCTAAACTTTCCCTGACACAACTCCATGCTTTCCTTCRGGTCCTAATGGTTACATCCAACACCAAAAGTGACTTTGAGCTCAGTGTTCAAGGATAGAAATGGTAAGAAAAGGTCATACCAATCCCACCAGCCACGAGCAACAGTGAACCCTCGACAGAAAGGAATCTGCCTTTGTGGGGCAGATCATTCCACACTCTATCTTTGAGACTTCATAGACAGCCTTTCAACCCCTGGCAACTGCAGGGGTTATATAAGTGGTGATATAAAAACTGGCTTGGAAAAGTTTGGATTTAGAAGTGTCTGTGCAGGACAGAGCTCTTTGTGCAAGGATTTGGCAGCTGTGAGGACATTTATTTATCCAGCAGGTAAACGGTGACTGCTGCTGCGAATCCTGTGCAGGACTTTGAACAAGCCTGGCAGTGTTGTCACATTTGTAAGATGATCCTTACCTCGGTCTTTTGCCTTTGGTATCAACTTGGCCACTAAATTCCTTCAGCAATTGCCAGGAGGTGCTGATGCATTTCACCCACCACAGCGTGCAGTGGATGCAATATGAGCAAGGGGTGCAGTGCTTTATATCCAGGCAATGTTACTGTTTTGGGTGTGATTTCTGCTTAAATATGCCATCTTGGTCTAATATGGCATTCAGAATCTGTAAAAAACCCACATATCTTTTACATGAGTATCATCTCCTCTCTGTCCCATGGGTCATGGTCAGCTGAGCAGAGCTGCCATCCTTTGTGGGAGCTGTGTTTCCAAGGCTCCTGTGCCCTCCCATCCCATCCCATCCCATCCCATCCATGGAGCCGGGAGCCGGCGCCAACTGGGAGCAAAGGCTTTGGCTCTGCTGACCCTGGGGAGGTGATGGCACGAGGGCTGTTTTGCTTTTCCAGCACGATAACAAACATCACTCCCTTGTTATCATCAGAGAGAGCGATCTCTCGGGGAGGGGAGGAGTGAGGCAAGGTCAGCTCTGTGCCTGGCCAGGAAAGCCTMCATGACRGYGTCCAAACTMACATGTTGGCCACYCTTGGGTAAACATTTATCCTTGTGTTGTTGTCAGGGCTGGTGGGAGGAGCTGGGCTGAGGTGCAGGGGCAGTTTCAGGGGTGGCACCGCTGCTCCTCTGACCTCTCACAGACATTCAAAAGCACCCACACAGCCCCTTGCAGGGTCTCGCTCACTTAAACTGGGCAAACCAGTTTATTTTAGCTTTTAGGGACAATCTCTCTGCCATCACATACTGGGAATAGTGGGGAATATTTAAGGAAAGCAAATTTAGAAATTTGTAAATGARCAACATGATCCCAAGGGTTAATATTTCCCTAATCAGGCGGACAAAGAATAGTGTGTGACCTCAAGCCCCAATTGCAACCCGATGATGCTGTCCAGCTTGTGACTTACGTATTTGCAGCAAATGCCTTATCTATAACAGGCATTGAAAGAGAAAAAAAAAAGGGTAAATAAAACATATCAGCAGTATTGTATCGCTGACTCTCCCTGTAGACCTTGCTTTACCAATAATTAACTGTCTCAAACTGAGAACCACTGCAGAACCCCTAACTAAAATATGATGGTGTTTCTCAAATTAAAAATGCTYGGTGAAGGTTTCACTCTGCTCAAAGAAATGCCCACAGGGTTTCCCTAGCCTGTGTGTGTAATAGCACAACTCAGGGTTGTCTCCATTTCTCCRGCTYGAAATCCAGATGGGAGAATTGCAGSATGGCCAAYACAAAAYYTGCTRTTCCTCCTTTAGGTCATMYTTTGAGGCTGTTTTGTTTTTTATTCCTACTGCCTTCCATTTCCCTTTTTCTCACTGTTTTCTCTGGCTGGGACAAACACATGAGGTCCAATCCTTGATGGTTCTTGAAAGCAAATGCACTTTAAACCCAGTCCTTTGACAKGAGWGCAAACAGCCCTGGAGCGTTTCCCRCAGTCAGTGAGCTCAGCTCCTCTCCCCATTATAAGCTAAAAGTTTGACTTTAATTTATATAATAAAAGACATTGTTAAAAACTGTGCTTTAATAAAGAAATACAAATGACAATCTAAAAATGTATTTTATTGGGCTGCTAATAATGACCAGCGGTGAGAGTGGAGGGGGGARCCATATAATGAGCTCCACAGAAGGGGTTTGGACACAGCTGTCCCATGTGTCCCAAAAATCTGGCAGAAGACATCTGGAGCTCACTGGGAGCCAGGGGACTTGGCACTGAGCAGCCTGACACCCCAGACTRAGACCCTACTCGGGTGAGCTCAGGTTTTACACAGCAGCTCCCCAGCTCGGGGCTCACTGGCCAATTGCTCAGATTGGGAAACAAACAGGCAGGCACTRAGGAGTTCCAGTTTTGTATATTCATGTCAGTAAAACAGAGATTATTCCCTCCCCTGCCCAGTGATTCTTGCCTGCCCCAGCTCCTTGCCCATCCTGGCGCTGCCTGACCAGGTGACACTGGAGTAAGGCAGACACACGGGAACCTGACTCACACTGAAGTAGCCAGGATGTGAATCTGGCCTAACAAATAACATTTCCCCTTGAGATTAACAAAACATGTTAATCTTCTTGGTTTGGAGACCCATATTTTTTTACTTGAACACAGAGCTCTGTCCCTCCATCATTAGCAGATGTCTTGCACACAAACTGCATTACCTATAAAGTCTGCTTACTCCAAGCAAATGGTTCTCCATCTCTTCTCTCTTTTTTTTTTTTCTTTACTTCAATTTGAAGTGAAAGGTACAGTATAGGATTCAAATGCTTTTGCATTACAAGGGTTTCTGACCACTTGAAAAACCCCATGGAAAAAATGACTTCACAAACCTGAAACGCCGGCCGAATCATTTTGCTGCACTTCTTTCAGCCTGGCTCAACTTCCTTATGATTCTTTTTTTTTTTTCTCTTTGCTTTACACGGCACTTCACTTTTGCTTGTTTAATTTTATTTCTTTATTAAAAAAAAATAAAATTCATAGCTCCTGTTTCAGCTCTCACTTTGTGTCAGTATTTCTACCCTGCAGATGTGTTGCACAGGCAGGAACATCAGGAAATTGCCCAAAAGGCAACGGAGTAGCCCAAAGGAAGAAGCAAACCTGAACACTGAAGCATGGTTTGGTGTTGTCCAAGCTCTTGCCCACACCAAATGCTSGCTCCAGGGCTGTAGGCAGGGAAGTGAAGGCTGAAGAAATAAGAGGTAACTCACAGAAGGGTACAGAAATTGGGCTTTGTCACCGACAGCTGGCTGGCCTGCTTGCCACGATCTGAATGGCACCTCTGACTTTTCTTTGGCTCAAAGATTTAACATTAAGGCAAAAAATAAGACACAATGTAGAAGCTCCATCAAATCTTTGGCACAACAGCAACAACAACAACAACAAAAAATTACTGTACACATGAGTTGAGAGGGTAACATTTCCCAGTTAAGCAAAGGGAAAAGTGCTAAATAAATTGCACGTACTAAAAGGTGGCTGGCTTAACAACAATAAGAAGCATCCCTGTCCTTTTGCTTTTCTCTTTTCTTTTCCTTTTTTCCTTTCTGTTCCAGAGATTAAGAAAGTTCCTTGGCCAATCGTCATCTCCAAAAGGGGTTTCTGCAAAAAAGCTGCTTTCAGTCTTCATCTGGATCGTGCAACCTTTGCCAATACCAGATGTAACTCTGGCTGGAAGCTCTTCTGAATCCTCCCTTCCTGGTAATTACTCCTGGAAAGAGAAAGATGCACCATGAGAACAGGGAACACATGGTGTCCCGGCGGCTCCTTGCATGGACCGTCGCTGACGCACGCGGGAGCATCCTTGGGGACTGCTGGCCATGGATCTGTGATTTTTAAGAGTTGGGCTCACAGAGGAACCATCTGTAGGTGCCACAACGGTGGCCAGAGCCCACAAAGAGGAGAGGGAGTGGCAGACAGGAAGAGGAAGGCTTGGGGAGGAAAAACAACACAGTAATTTGGTGTTGGGTCCAACTCCTGCCTCCGCCAACAAAAAAAAAAAAAGTTAGCAGTGATGGTAAATACCCGCTGTTTTCAGTTCAMGAGCTGATCTCAGAAAGTAAAGGAATTGCAACTAGATGGGTTTGTGCAGGAGATGGGCTTTATTTCGGTATTTTAGGTGTTGTATTGAGTTTTTGCAGGCATGGCTGCTCAGCCTGTGCATCCCCTGCGAGTCACAGCCACGGCAGATTATTTGGGCAATTGCAYTGGGCTACAGAATATTATGGCCAGGTCCCCAGGAAAATGGTCAACTCCAAACCATGGCTACTTTAGACAAGGAAAATCTCATCTAAASCCTCTTTAGCATTAAAATAAGCCCSACAAATATCCCACAAACAATCGTTAGCATAGTTCAAAACAGAGGAAAATCCTCAGGGCCTGAGGATTTCATGAGATCACATCTCTATTATCCGAACTGCCTTCATCACGTGGGCTCCTAAATCCTCCTTTAAATAACTTAGGAATTAGAAACTTGGAAATGAGATCACTTTGAGCTAGTGCTACCACCATTTCTTGCTTCTTGCCAGTGGATTTGTGAACCTTTCAGGGAGCAGGACRGCCTCTGAAGGTTCTTTGGACATGGTCACCAATTCCCTGGGTAGGTCAGCCATCTTTCTGTCAGTCTCAACAAGGTCAAACTCCTTAAAGCCTGGCCTGAAAAACACATTTTTTCCCCAGTCTGTTTTGTTTCTGTACTGCTTCTTTTTCCATCACTGGATATTGTAACATTAGGGCACAAAATACTAGCAACATACCGGTATTTATTTTATTTATGACTATCATTAGGGCAGCTGCTGTGATATCAACCATTACAGCTGATCATCCATGCCAGGCTAAGTGACAAAGGGAACTTAAAAAAATCCATTTTATTTATCACCTGCTCCTGTCAAGTGCAGACCCAGGGGAGCACAGGTCTGTCCCAACACCATTAAGGTTTCTCTTGATAAGAGTATTTCACTGAAAGCACCCAGGGTCACCCTGCACAATCCTACCTTGTACTGCTCAAAGAAAATGAAGAAACTATTGCCCTAATTCAAGGCCTTATTTGGGATTTTGAATAAATGAGGTTTAGGTGGGAGAATGACAAACARCCTTGTGTACTGCCAATGTTTTTTTGTGAGGAACCTCCAACAATAAATAATAGATATTAATTACCTGTAACAGAAAAGATGGTTGTTTAATTTATCCCACATTTAAGTATGGAAAGAAAACGTAAAAGAAGGGAAGCAATGAGCACTCTCATTAATATTAAAAGACAGCAGAGAGATCAGAAGCATTGGTGGGTTTTGGGAAGCAGGGTGGCTTTAGGAAGAGGAGTCTCAGGGTCAGGTCTCCACTCTGAAGTCTTTGCAGCTGGGGAAGATCACCCATGGGGGGCAAGAGGGAATATGCACAAACCAGACAAGGGAATTTGTGCTGCACCCTCCAGACAGAGGAAATGRAAAAGGGAATGGGGAGATCCCTCTGCAATGTGATGGAGATGCTCAGCACACCTCACTGGCACCGCTCAATTGGTCCCCAGTCACTGCCCCAGCCCTGGCCATGGGTTATGTTTGGGGGGAACAGGCTYCTTTCTTTCCCCCTCCACCCTTTCCCACTGCAGCCAGGAGCTCTGAAGACAGATTTATTAGCCTGGGTCTGCTTTAAACTAATAACATCAGATCTCCCATGGCTCTTGAATTTGACAACTGGCCCAATGACCTTGGTGAGTTTGCAGCATCCCGGAGCATTTCAATCTCTATAAATCAAAGCACTTCTGGAATTGAGTCAGCCTTTGTTCCAGGGCTTCTCCTGTCTCTGCTGCTCACATTTTCCTTTTGCTGTAGTTACCCAGTATCTGTGGGGTGGATCTCACCCTATTCCTGGTAACACCCTTGCTGCAAAGGGGATGGACCCTACACTGGGATCCTGCTCCCACMCAGCCTTTGTTTGCTGTGACATGACTGCTCCAACACCCCATAAGGCAAAGAGGATTTTGGGGTGTTGTCATGCAGCAGGGGAGTCCCACATCACATCCTTTTGCAAGAAAAAGCTTTGGGCCCTGTTCTTTGGGCTACTGATGCTCAACACCTCAGTGGGCCAACGCACAGTGTGCAGTGCCCTTGGGGATGCCCTTGGGGTAGCTGCTGCTGCCTCCCTGTCTGGAGTTGGGTGACCTTGCTTGAGACCTTGCCATGAGCCTCAGCACCCGTGCCCCACCTGCAATCACTGTTTTGGGCTGCAGGGACGTACCAAAAGTGAGTGACAAGCAAATTATCTCACTGCCCTATTTAGAAGCAGACCCCTGGGTGGACAACCCTCCAGCCAGCACGCAGCAGGGATAACCCCTGGCCAGGCAGAGCCAGGTCCCCT